CCTCCACATTCTGAAATTGTTACTGTAAGACATTTAAAACGTCCACCGGGTTCAAAGCAATGGAGTTCATCTTTTTAGAATTCTACCGCAAAGGGTCCTGTGTGGATAGTATAAAAACTTCCAAAGCCACATGGTCTCTAATGCCCAGGGAAACACATTGGCGACATTCTAGAGAACCAAGTTTACACACAGTCCTTGATAGAAAGGGTGTAACATGGCTTCCTTGGCCAATATAAACAGGTGCACAGACACTATTATATCAACAAATGAAGTCTAAAGAAAACAGTTTTTAATTTTTACTTTTCAAACTGTGTAAAGGCCTCTTATAAGCTTAAGAGTAGGAAGGACCCAAGGTATTTTCTTAGCAATTTTGTCCTTATCCTTTGGCAAACTTGGATTTTTCTAAAGATTTTAACAGTTTGAACTGAACAAGATATCTGTTTACTTATTTATTAGTGCCCCAGAATGAGAAAATGATGCCAATACAGCTCTGGAAATAACATGTTAGTTAGCTTGGACTCTCTATGCAGCCACTCACATAAGCAGTGAGAGGTAGACTATATCACCACAAGATTGTCAGTGGAATTTGGTCTCCTAAGCACCAGAATGACTACTGATGATATCAACACAAAAACACAGTGAGCGTGGAATAAAGACAGCAGGATTTGTTTCTCAGCAGAAAAATGGTAGTGTGTTTTCTTTTGAAGTTAGATCTAAGCATCTGGAAGACATTCACACATAAGACTGTACAACAGTTTCAAGGAAGCTTAAATTTATTTTACTTCTAGGAATTTTGAAGCCCAAATACTAGTCTCTCAAAATTGAGAAAGGAAAAATCCCCCAAAACTCCGTTCTTTTCTGAAAAGGAGTCAGAGTTTAAGGCCAGAAGGGATCACCAGATCATCTAGTCTAACCTCTTGTACATCACATGCCACCAACATGCCAGCACCCACATACTAACTCCAACTATCAAAATTAGACCAAGTATTATGGCCCATAGGAGACTAGACTATTGTGCGCCACAGACAGAGAATAGGAGGGCTCTGAGGGGCACCAATACCCAAGACCCCCACAATGGCAGGGAAATGATTAAGTGAGATATATCCAGATAATCCTGGCAAGTGACCCACACACACATGCTGCAGAGGAAGGTGAAACCCCCACACGGTCACTGACAACTTGACCTGGGGGAAAATTCCTTCCTGACCCCACATCTGGCCATCAGTTAAACCCTGAGCATGCAAATAAGAACCAACCAGGTAAGAGAATGTCTGTCTGTGTAAGGCGTCCAGTTAGATTCAGTGAGAATTTCTGCATGGACTAAATAGGTGACCTTTAGACAATCCTCAAAGGGATTTGTGACAGATTTGACCTCAGCATCACAGCATCTTAACAGTGTAGTTTTAGTTAGCCACTTGGCACTGGCATGTCCAGAGTTCAAACTGTTAATCCTTAAAGCAAGTGCTTAAGTGTCACAGGGTCAAAATGCACGTCCCACTGAAAAATCTATATAAAATTTAAATACACTAGAACATTTCAAATCGATACTGAAGCCTGCTGCAGTGGCATGGGTACGTTCTCTCCAGATGTATAATCAAAAGTATCACTTATCCTGCAATTCTGTTCTGAATCTCTTTCCTCCTCAAAGATGTTTGCTTTCTTCCAGACCTCCACTTTTAGGTAATGATATGCAAGTGGATTTCACCTGTTTTGACCTCAGCCCTTTGTCATTCTGAAACAAAGAAACTGAGTGCCATTCAGTTACCATATCGGGTCTTTCAGACAGGGCCTTAAAAGACACACAGGTTCATTTTCTCTAAACAGACATGGCACTTTTGGAAAGAGTAGGGCCAAAATGTGCAATTCTTCCACTATTATGCAGGGTGCTGCGCAGCAGAGGACTATGTATCTAGGCAGGTATTCATGTATTCATCACCACAGAATTTGAGTGCAATCTGATCCTACAGTTCATTGCATTTCAGCACTGCTATAAAGATATGATTTGAAAAAGCACTAAAGTCCTTTAGAAGGTATTATCTATAATAAAATATTAAAGAGAACTCTTAACTTGCTCACATTGTAACAGGACTCAATTTTGCCCTTAAAACCATTTGTTACTTAGAGATGAATGCTCATACTGGAAGGTAGGATCAGGCCCATTGTATATTAAGACCTGTCTATACACAAAGATGCCCAGGATTAATATAAAGTGTGATTTTAAACAGATTTAGTTAAGACAGTTTAAAAGGCTATGTGGATATTTTTATTTCAATTTAAATAAAGCTTATTCCAGTTCAACTTAAGTTGGGAACATGTCTAAGCTAAACTGAAATAAGCCACTCTTAATCAAAAATGAAGTGTTCACATTGGGGTTTGCACATTTAACTAAATTAGTTTAATTAAATTGGTGCAAAACTATGGGTAGACAAGATCTGTGTCAATCATTTAATAGCAAAACTATTAATCTAAAATACTCTATATATGCAATATGAATGAATTATTGTTACTATAGGAATCTGAACTTGTATTTCTTTACATAAATGTTTATTGTCACGTGGAATTAGGCCCCAAATTGAGGTTTCATAAAAATAAGCTTCATAAGACCTCAGGTAACCGAAATGTTTCTACATATTTGGTTACCACTTACTCAATATTTTCAGACAGAGAACATTCCACCTGCAAAAAACCCCAACATATCTGTACAATTTTTTTGAATGTTAACATTTGTAGCCATGCCTGGTTTGTTAAATATGTGTAGTCAGTTTTCACTCAATTCAATAAAATCATTGGAGATGACATGTCATGGGTAGTGTAAAGATGCTCACTATGTAATACGGTAACATCCTGTTAGAGAGGTCTGATGATTGTATTATTGTATGATGTCTCTCTGAACAAAAGCTCACTGTTGTAATGATAAAATACACATTTCTATGTTTTTTCTTTATTTCCATCTGAAACACCTATTCTACCTAGTGAACACTGGTCTGTAGCGTTTGCCAACCCAAAAATTATGATGCTGCAGGACAGCCTGAAATTGAAAGAGCCTCTAGACAAAAGGAAAAACTAATATGTCTATTTCTGTTTTTAATATTGGTTTCAACCCTACAAAGAGATCCCAGACAGATATTTATGCCTACATAAAGTTCCAATGCCAACACCCTTTGCAGGATCAGGCAAGTGACAACTATAGCTGATTGGGAATTTTAAAACAAAACGGTTTTTCATTGGAAAATGCCAATTCCTCAAACCAAAATGTTCGTGGAACCATTTCAGTTTGACAAACTTCTGCCAGTGCACTCCAAGAGTTCTGATGGAAACCTGCCGGCTACATGCCTAATGTTCTACCAGCTACCTTGAGGAGCTGCTGGAAAGCCTGGGTTTCCAGGGCCTGCAGCTCTGGGGCAGCTGTGCCATACAGACTGCCTCAGTCACAGACCCCAGGGATTCCAGACTCCCTGCTGTGGAGACAGGACCATGACAGCCTCTGCTTGAACCAGGGCTCTCTGGACTTTTAAGACTCCCCACTCTATAGCAGGGGACTCCCCAGGCAGCCCTCAGAGTCCCTTGGAGCCAAGAGCTGCTGGCTGCTCAGTTTTCCAAAATGAAATTTTTTTAGAATTTCTTTTCTGTGGGAAAATATTTTCTCATTGTCGGAGTTTCCCCATGCAATGGAAATTCTGAGTTTTGACCAGCTCCAGTGATGATACATATCTGCTGTTTCACAGTCCTGTAAATACCACTTTGTAAGCTGGCCTGAAGATTAGGCCTCAGTATTCACTACTGAGGAGGAAATTTTCAGCTTGCAAAGATCTGCCATATGATTCATGCCTCTAGAGAGAGAGAGAGAGAGAGAGAGAGAGAGAAATATTTTTACAGCAGAAAGTGTGTATCATTTGGCATTTTCAGAACTCAAAAGATGGGCAGATTTTGTTCAAATTTTCTTGAAATATCATGTATTCTAGGACTGAGATAACACATGGAAGATTTCATCCAGAAAATTATTACAAAAAATAAGCCTAAGAAACTAGGAAGTTATAACAGAAGGCACAACATAGGTGAATGTTTGTTACTGAGGAAACTCTAGAATTATTCATATGTTGGGGGCAAGGAGGAAAGAAAAAAAAAAAAAAAAAAGAGAGAAAGAAGCACAGCACTTTAGGGCGTGGGGAGGAGGAAATCTTGCTTTGTAGCAGAGATGGGCCCAAAGTTCACTTTCAGACATACCCAAAAGTTCATAACCCAAAACTCTGCTGTTTTTGGTTTGACCTAATTCAAGGTTAGATCCAGCTGTGAAATTCAAACTCCGTTCCCCCTCTCTCCCCCCCGCCCCCCGAGTGTGGGGGAATTATGGTAAGTGCTTCAGATCTGGGGTTATGGCTCACCCCTATTCCCACTGCATAGGCATCAGAGGTTAGAAAAAATAGTTATGTTGGTCATTATTTTTTGGTGAGGGGGATAAATTGTGCAAGGATTATAGTAGTGTTGTTATGATGGGACGGACTTCATGTGCTCCTGTACACTTCCACAGGGGATGCATTTATTATTTTACTCTAAGTAGCAAGATGAAAATATATTTTATGATCTATTAAAAAAAGACAGACACCAGGCACATGTGCCTTTAGATGACTGGTGAAGTAGCTTTAAAATAATTGTATTTTTCGTACCTTAATACAACTGAGAAATAAAGATCCAAACCTGGTATTAAAAACAAATTATTTCAAAATCTCCACACACTTCGCCTGAAACATTGCAAAAGCATAAAAACATATATTGTTTCAAAGATCCTGAGGATTAGATTAGGATGTTCTGAAACATTCACAATAAAGGAGCTAATGACTCAGGGGACCGGCAACAGAACATGGGGTCTTTCACCTCTTTTAACATCAGTTCAAATCCAGCCTGGGATCGTAGGAACCAACATTCCTCTACCTGTTGCCTAATGACTTAAAACACAAAAAGTTCTTATCAGATACTTGTCCATGTGACTGAAATCATCATCAAAACTGATGCTCTTGTTGGCAGTCTCAGCGGAGAGGCCAGAAGCTGATTGGGCATGGAGATGGATCAACCAGAGATTCTTAGGAGTCAGAGATGAAAGAGTCCTGTTGGACTATTCAGTCCATCTCCCTCTCTTGAAATCAGGGCTTTGGAGCTGTGCTCCGGCTCCACTCCGGCTCCAGGCAAAAGCCTGCAGCTCCACTGCTCCGGAGCTGCTCTGCGCTCCTGCTCCTGGCTCCGCTCCAAAGCCCTGCTTGGAATGGAGGTCATTTCATCTTCTTATCTCTAAAGGTAGCTCCTCCTGGTAAGGAGGGCTGCATGCTGGGATACATCCTATTACTTTAATGAACTCTCAGTGAAGTACAAGTATATTGCCATGCTATAAGTATTCTGATGATAAATATATCAAACACTTACCTCCACAAGCTTCATCATAGGCACTGGGTTAAAGAAATGGAGGCCACCAAAGCGGTCCTGCCTGGTGGTGGAGTTGGCTATGTCCGTTATTTGCAAAGACGAAGTGTTGCTCGCAAATATTGTGTTTCTGTGGGGAAAGGAAGTGAGGATTGTGTAAATGACAGCTATCTTTGTCAACAAGAAGGTCTGTGCCCTAAAGATCAACAGATTTGCTATGGAGCAACAGAGGGTCCTGTGGCACCTTTAAGACTAACAGAAGTATTGGAGCATAAGCTTTCGTGGGTGAATGCCCACTTCATCAGATTTGCTATGGGCATTCAGTGGCTAATCAGGAGTGTCTTTTTTTTCAGCTAGCCTATTGTAGGCCAAGTATTTTTAAAAGTACCCCATCATACATAGCTGACACTACCCTTTACTGCTTTCCATAGCATACAACTAAAATAGCACCGCAACGACCAATAGTTAAGCTTGTCTCTGAAAGTTGTATGAATTCTTAACTCCAAGAAGAATATATAGGTCACCTCACTGGATCAAGAAAAGAGTTTTTTCCATAAAAAGTAGAAAAGTTTCGTAGTCCCCATCACAAATCTCTTATTTCAGGAAAATTCAGATCTAGGAGTCTAGCTTTTGAAAATTTTTGCCAATAATCTTTTTACAGTATACACTGACAGATCTAGACAGCAGACGTATTGCAAAAGGAAAAAGTAGAGCAGGAAAACAGAGATGCCACAAAGAGACAAGAATTACTGCATACAGCACAGTCATTCAGAAGATAGGACCATATCCAGATATGTGGTTGGTGGGGTGTTTTTTTAAGATTTATAATGGCAAGGGAAGGAAATCCATCCATTGGCATAAACCAGTTCTTAAATTTAAATAAATTAATATGAGATTTAATGAGATTTCAGAGCATTTTTCAATTATTAAGCCTCTCACCACCTGTTAGATAGATAAGGTTCATTTTCCTGATGGGGCAACCGAGGAAGAGAAAATTAAGTGACTTACTCTAGGTCACACAAATCAGTGGCAAAGTCAGGAATGAAGTCCTTACTTCCAATTGCCTGTTCTAAACAGACTCCCTCCCAGAAAAATATCCCCTTGGGTCAATCAAATGTTGTTATGTACCATAGTTCACTTAGATATAACTATGTCCTGGGACAGGAAAAAGCTTTGGAGAAACTGTTTCTTCTTTGAGTCAGGAGAGCATCACAGATCTTGAGGCGTTAGAAAAACAATTATGTAAAAAGAGACTGTGAAAGCCACTGCATTTTTACTTCATGTACAATATCTGAATTTGTGAGTCTGACAATCACAAAAGTGTCTCTAAAAATCTTACCTACACATCTCCCCAGCTATCCTTTAATCACTTCTCCCTGGCAACAGCACCACAAAACAAGCCTTAAGGCTTGTCCACACAGTGCACTAGTCCACAATAGCGGGATGTAAATTAACGTGCACTAGGGAACTTTTAGTGAGTGCCAGCAGGGTCCGCATAGGCCAGTTAGTATACAACATGCTAGTGCACATTAGTATTTACACCTCTCTAGGCAGACTAATGCACTGTGTAGACAAGCCCTTATATTATTCTGGGGCAGGGCACTGAAAGAATGTTTTTCACCCACAATTCTGATATCAGTAGTTAAGATTCCAAAGGTCAAAGAATATGAAGGACAACAATTCACGACCCACCCTATTCAGAATGTTCACCGTTGCTTCCAATGAACTTCCATTCAGAAGTCTCTCATAAATACTTAAACTTAACAGACAAGATTCCTTCTCACAAACTAATGGTTGCAGGATCAGAATTTCTTAGTTAAAATTCTAATCTCTGAAGTGTCCACTTCCTTGGGTAAAAATCAGAACCTTACTGTTAAATTAAAGCTTTGCATTGTTCTATAGATACAATTTGAAAAAAATCCTCATTAAAGCTAGATTGTGTCCGAGAGTGCCTTGCCCACATTATCTACTTAAACCAATAAACTGGTTTAAACCAAATTTAGAGAGAGGATAAACGCCTCCGTGACTTAGACCTCATAGTCAAAGTTCCAGCCTAAAGCAAAGTTTTACAATCTTTGACAATAGCATTTAGTAAATGGAAATATTGACAAACCCCTAATGAAAGCTTTTTGGCATTAGGTGGGCTTGCCTGCAGTGCCACCTAGTGGGTCCCAAGAAGAATTATACAGAATCTCAAAACTCAAAAGACAAGAGAGAAAAAATGTAGCCTTCCAGCGAAGTTACCCACGCTGTCCAGCTCCTTTAAAAATGCTGAAGTTGTGGATGAAAGAATTCCTCCTTCTGGCCAGTTTTGTAACACAATTTCAGAATACAAACCACAATCCAGACACATTAGCCAGCTCCCCGCGGGGGTTGCTGCCTTAACAAAAGGATAAAACCTGGATCAACAGAAATGATATGCAATGCCCACTGCACAGAAATTGGCAGTGTACAGTTAGGGAGGCAGAGAGAAAAGGCAGGGGGGGGGGCTCTCAGGAAAAGAAATAACAAAGAATTCTCACTATTTGATGACTGATGCTCCTGTCTAAAGTAGGAACAACATAAATTAAATGCACACATAATAACGAACGCAGAAAGTGACATGAAAATCCTACACTGGCCCATTTAGAGCAGGACAGGAACGGATTCAATGACAGTAGGACATGTGGTGCATAAGGAGGGGAACCCATAAATATCACTATGCTGAAAATCAAACCCAGAGACACTACCCAGGGTCACTGATTACTTATGAAGAGGAGGCATCATAACTACATTTCCAAATAGTAGGAGGATTCTCAAATGTAATACTGAAAACAAGATAACCTGCAAACACAATTAGGCAAAGCCCCAGGAAGTAATTACAGTTCTCTATTTCCCTGTCACACAGTGCTGCTGTGAGGGTAAATTCATTAATGTCTGTAAAGTGCCAGCAAATCCTCAGATGGAAGGTGCCATAAGAATGCAGAGTGCTATGCATACAAATCAATGGCATGATTCACCTAGGCTGAAATAGAAACCATGGGTGACAGCTGCGGCCAGAGCCCCTTCAGCTTGCTGGGTGTAGATTTAGTGCTTTGAGTTGTGCTTGTACAAAACTTCTGTACTGTTAAAGCACTTAACTGGCTTAGTTTAAGTCAATTTGTATCTACAAGCATAAAATTTCAAGCAGTCAGCAGGGACAATAGCTACCCCCATTCCCCAGTGCTCTCTGGGGATGCTAAATTCCCATGGACTACCTGCTTGCCCCATGCAGCTTTCATTCCCCTGCAAAAGTATTAAGCTGTACAAACGGAGAGTTGGCAAGGGTCATTGCTGCGCCCCCCCCAACAGAGTTCAGCAACTCCACAAAGTAGTGAACTGTGTGGGGCTGCCAGGTAGCTTAATGAAGCTTAGCATCACCACAGGGAGATAGAGGCAGCCCCACCTTATTTGAGCTCCTTAAAGACTTATGATTGTAGAAGCAAATCTGCTTAAAGCTCACTAACTTGGCTGAGCTATAAGCCAATTTACCTCTACAAGTTCCTGAGAAGGTTCACAGCAGCAGGCTCCCCTCCTGTGAACCCTAAGCCTTCAACTGTAGAAAACAATTCACGTGACACAAAGATTCTCCAAGGAGTTTGGACACAAGAAGCAATGTAGAAAACTATGCCCTCCACACAGAGATTTTTTTTTCCCCCCAATCTCTTATTTCTTTAAGATGGGGCTGGGGGAGGAAGGAAATAGGCTGGGGCTCATTATGTGTTCTGCACAAGGGTTATATTTCTTGTAGCAATCACAGCTATAAAGTTAACTAAGTTTACTGTGTGGAATACAGACGTATACCTGCTTCTGCACTCTAAATGGAGGTAAGGGCAGAAAAGTACAATAAGTAACTTATTTTAAGTCAACTCAAACAGTTTTCTGAACAATAAGCTGAAATACTACTTGAGCTTACTTACGTGAAATTAGTTTACAGTTCTAGCTCAAACCTACCTATACAATACTTGGTCTTCACTTCAACTTAAGCAAGCTACAGATATTTTTGGGGAGAAAGGTCTGTACCACCCCTTGCCAAAGAGAAAACTTGTGACTGGATCCGTCAGGGTTTTTAATGTTGCTGCACTGTTCCAGGGATTAGGTATATTTTCAATAGCTCCCACAGTTCAAGGATTCTTCTGATAAGGGAGAATAGGCTGATATCTCCATGCAGCGCTGACGCTGCTCAGTACTTTGGCTAATTACTAGCATGCTGGAGTTCTGAGGGAAAAGCATTAGTAGCGTACACCTGGCATACCCTCCAACACTGCTACAGCTCAGAGTGCCTCCACAAGGAGCTGCCACCACATTTGCTGAGCAGGAGTCTCAGCTCTGACCCTGCCCAGATTTGCCACTGCCAGTGGTTTGGGTTACAAGGAAAGACCCAACCTTCCACTAGGCATACAGCAATGTACATGACCTGCAAGAAGAAAGGGAGAGGAGTCAACTAACCCCACACCTTATTAGCTCTTAAGTCCATCCAAATCCATCTCACCAGCTCTTAAGCCAATTAGGCTTGTGGGTGGTTAATGGAGGGAGAAAAAAGGAAGCAACTTAGGAACCTGTCTCCTTTCCACTAGCAGCTCTTCTGTGGGTATGAGAATTATAGGCATGTGCCGGGGACCCAAAATTATTCCAAGCTATGGGGCAGGCACAGGAAGATGAAGAGACAAACATAAAAGCAAAATCTTTCGTTCTAGGGTAGGGAATATATTAGAATTCCTTTTGGCTACAATCCTATCACTTTGTTGAGCCAGTGGGGAAAAGACACTTAGAAGTAACAGAATTCCCTACTACCACCATCCTTTGATTTCTGTGCCAATTTGAAGGCGGCGTGGGGTCAGGAGGATCTTCTCTCTTTCCTCCTCCCCCACCCCCGCCAATAATGAAAATAAAAGCCTAATATCAATCAAAATACATAGTAGGGAAATGCAGTAGTTGTTAGAAAAAGTAATAACCCACATCTATCAGCATTTACAGATATGCATTTAGTGACCCATCAGAGAGATATGTCTGCTTCCGTCTTACCATTCATATTCTCCACATGAGAAATCATAGATCACTACCTTAAATCTCAGTAGAGAGAGCTAAGCATCCCACGCTACATAACGTTTAAACATATAAAACGCAGCCACCACTGCTGGTGCAAAGAATGAGAGCAGTTAGTAAATACTGTGCTAACATATTTATTTTATTTTATTTTTATTTTTACATAGAGTGCCTCAACCACTTAGTGCATTTCCTGAATTTTTTCAAACAAGTGATACCAGTGAAAGGAAATTAGATATACTGCACTTTAGGCTGAAGCACACTCTATACCTTCATTACAAGTGTTACGCTATCTCTATAAAACACACAAAATTATTTGATCCTGGGTACTTATCCAGGTAGACAATCTTCCCAAATATAAACACTTCTCCATAGCCTGAACTGAATAATTTGCAGAGGAGCAGGAAAAGGATAAAGCTCTTTAAAGGGGGAGGGATTCTGTAAGGAAGTCTCCTCCCTGGGGAATTTCTTGCCCTCCCATACTTGCCTGTTGGTGGAATCTGGACTGTATTCACATGTAACTTTGTGAGCCACACAATAAAATATCACCCCACCCTGGATGGTTAGCTGTACCTAGCAAGAGAGGAAGGAGGAAGTCATCTTCACTAGATGCAGGGAAATCTCACATCTTCTCCCTGAGCCCTACTTGATTTAAATACTACAGACGGGAACTGACTTATTGTATGTCCTTAGTACAATCTGTATAATAATCCTATCAATACCTGTGTCAGGAGAACTTTAAATTACCATTCTGTGGATATATTTGGGTTAGGGCTTGCACAGATACTTCTAGTTCAACCACCTTAATGCAGGATTACAGCTCAGTGGTACCAACAGTATTTGTATGAGTGCTGGTACGTGCCCCAGCCACTGTATGTGTGTGATGTTTATCTCAGAGCATACAGGCTGCCTAAATGCAACTCTGACATAGTTTACTGATCAGAACTTCTGCAGCCGTTTTTGAAAAGCACATGACAAAATGGGTTTGGAATCATGATTCTCACCTCTGCAGCCTCCTTGATTGATTATCAGCCTGACAAAGTAATTGATAATATTTTCCATTTTAGGACAGGGCCTGTCAGATCTCCATTTCTATAGCACCAATAAAGATTAAACCTCTTTGGTGTGAGGAGTTGGGGGGGGGAGGGATTTTAGTTAAATAATTCATTCTAATTGGTTCACTGGGTTCTCTGTATTTTTTTTAATCTTTGCTCAGAAGCTGAGATTGGAGAATTGCTCGCCCTTTGTTCCCCTTAGAAGTCAATTCCTATTTTAATGGGGGGAGGGAAAGAATTCTGCATTGCACTGGTGCTGTATGCATATAATTTGTGAAGAATATTGGGGTGTAAATGGAATATGTGTAAAATATTACATAGAAATAAGTTGGACAATTACATCTTTTGGTTTGCTGGCTGCCATGCTAAACAAGTGTCAGTATTAAAAAGTTATGAACAAAACCCTAAAACCACTGCTACAGAAAAAGAAAAGCCCAGGCCTAATGTTTCTCTTTGACTTGAAAAGCATATTGTTGGAACAATTAAAACAAAGAGACCCTTAACATAACATGGAAAAGTATACTACAAATCCATGGAACAGAAGGAATTTGCGATGAACTCATTTTCTGCCTATGCATACCACGAAATCCCTTGAATGAGGCATAACACACGAAAATAAATTGGGTAACTACACTTGCCATGTGTTCAGAAAAATCAGCAATTGGCATGTCAAATACTCCATATCACATAATAGTCTGGAGTCAAAGGGAGCCTAAGAAAAGCTTCTTGCTTAAGTGTAGAAGCTAAGAAAATGACACAAAACTGCCATTTAAAGAAAAAGATACTAGCTATAAATTTCAAAACAACCTAAGAGAGAAGTGGTGATGGATTCCAGTTCATTGTGCTTTAATCATACATACTCTGGAGCAAACTTGTCCAGTCTCTTGAAGAGATCATTTTTCACTTGCAGGTTCTCCACAATGGCCTCAATCACAAGGTCGGTGCTGTGTACCACTGCTACTGGGTCTGTGCTCACTGTTAGGTTCTTTAAGGTCTTCTCAATGAACTGAGCAGCAGCCTGAAAGGTTAAACAGAAGTCACAAAACCTATTTCTAAAAGGTTTCATTTCTTTGGTATAAAAGTTCTCATAGGTCAATTTATTTCATTGGTCGCTTTTTTGAGCCTTAAAAATATTAGGCATTATAACTTGCACTATATTTCCAGATCAATTAGAAAGCTTTAAGTTTATGAGAGTACTATACTTCCACAGATGGACTAAACTTTCACAGCAACTCAAGTCTTCTCACAAGCAAGAGATCCTTTATTTCATTCTTTTAGGATGACTGTTCTCCACCCCACCCTTTATTTCAACCTTCAGAATGACAGTTCCAGTAAACAACTGACTTATCACTTCAATACTGTCCCAGGAGAATCTTGACCTGCCCTCAGTGAAAATGGACTTCTTCGGTTTTAAACCATTATATTGTTTTTCCTTCCATAAGCGAGCTATCTGGTTTCACAGCTCATTGTTATAATTCAAAGCCCTTCACGGACACCTCAGGAAATGAAATGGCTTTCAGGCAACATCCAATGTATTAGAGTTCTCCTGGGAATGGGAACAAAATTTTGAATCTCTCTTGTGACTGCCAAAGCTGTTAATCACTGACATAGTTTATGAGGACAGATCAAATACAAAGGCAGGCTTTTTAAACAAGAGAATGGAGACCCAGTACAGCTGAAAACAGACACTTATATACTACATTTTGGGGGTCTGAGAACTTGTCTACACAGGGAAATTTACCAGCATAACTATACTACTATAAAAAGCAACAACTCTGTTGCTTTTTACAGATCCAGACTAACACGACTACCCCTCATATATTACTATAATTATACAGCGATAGTTATGCTGGTATAACTCTTCATGTGGACACTCGTATTCCAGAATAAGGATTGCCTTTTCCCAATTTAGCTTATACCGGTTCCAGAGCAGCATAAGCTAAATCGGAAAAAGGCACTCCTTATTCTGGAATACGAGTGTTCCTACAAGGAGTTATACTGCTACAACTATGGCCTGGTCTACCCTGGGGGAGAATCGACTTAAGTTACGCAACTTCAACTACATGAATAACATAGCTGAAGTCGACATACTTAGATCTACTCACCGCGGTGAGCTGACGCTCCCCCTTCGACTCCGCCTGCACCTCTCACTCTGGTGGAGTACTGGAGTCGACGGGAGAGCGCTAGACACAATAAATCGACCCCCGCTGGACTGATCGCTGCCTGTCAATCCTGCGGGTAATGTAGACAAGTCCTATAGCTATATAATTATGCTGGTATTTTTATGTTGGTAAATTTCCCCATGCAGACAAGACCTTATTCCTGCCATGGGCATGTCTACGTGATAGTGTAGACACGGGCTCTGACACATGCTTAAACCCAACCTCCCTACCATCCACACATAAAGCCTTCTAACATATGCTTGTTACCGCCTCAGAACACTGGCTTGCTGGCTCATGCAGGGGCACAGATAAAAGTGTCTTGCTGTAGCCCATGTCCCAGCCTTCCCACTTTGCAGTGAGGACATAGCTAAAGCACGTGTTGTGGTGCTTGTGTTCTGATAAACCACCAATACTATCCCACAATTCCTGGGGCCTGTACGCTCCAGCTCTTCTACCTCCCAACTTCTCACTCACTCCCCATGTTAGTTCAAATGCAGCTGCTCTACATTTAACCCTTCATTGCATGCAGACTGCTCAACTTCAAACACAGCTGAGCCTTGCTTGTCCAAAAAGCAGAGAGAAGTCCATACCAGCTTTCTTGTCAGTCTAGGGTGTGAGGACCGCAAGGCCCAAGATTTTGGCAAAAGCAACAAAAACCAGCACAAGAGCCTGGCAGAATCGGGAATCAACCAGACCACTGTCCAGTGCTGAGTGTAAATCATGCACCTCAAGATCATCTCCTGCAAAGCAAAGGATGGGAATGATCAGCCAGGGAACTCCCTAGCCACTTTTATTACAAGGAATTCAACCAGAAGCTGGGAACCAACCCCAGTACAGAGTCTACAGTCCTGTCTCCTGAGTCAGGTTGATATGCTTAGAATCCTGAAGGCAGAGAGAGGGACACCCCTCGAGTCACAGGAGCAAAACCCCGAACACAGCAGGGTGCTGGCATCAGGTCTGCACCAGGTCATGGAACTGGATCAATTAGGGGACATCCTGGGCCCATATTCACAGTAACTGTTTGGGGATGGGTCTGGAACAGCCAGGAGAGGAAGTGACAATGCCGCAGGAGTTGTAGTCTGGTAAATGGCACCCAAAAGCTTGGTTATCATAACAAGTGGGAGAGATTTCTAGGCTATGACCAATACAATTATTATGAGAGAGAAAAATTACATGCAGGGAGTTGTATTTTACTGAGACCACAAGCCAGGCCATTTCCCCAATTCCATGTGAGAGCCATGATGGAGGTCAAGAAAGGAAAAAAATTAAAACGAGCAGCTAGCGATAACTTTTTACTGATTATATGGTTATTGTTAGAAAAGGGGTATTAATCTCAGCAAGCGTGGGTGCATATTTCACCACGTAGTGCTATGTGTGCAACTCAGTCACACCGGCACGTTGGTTTGAGTTTCATTGCTGCCAGCACTGGTGCAAGTCTGTCTGGATTACCAGTCTTAATGGCTGTGGTGGCTGTATTTTGTCACCTGGATCCCTGTCCACTCATCGCATGCTGTCCAATATCGTCCAGGGTGGAAGTGGCAGCGGAAGGTGGTCTGTTCCATAGCTATAAAGCATTTCCATCCTAGTTCAGCATCTTACTGATTTTTGCCTGAATTTTCACTCACTCCTGGCTGGTAAGTGCTTGAAAACTTTTCATGCAGCAGAAACTATATGTTTGGTCAGATTCCAGGGCAGGGCACACTTATTACAGACAACTCTGTAGCTCACTAGCCCATTCATTTCCTTGGCAGGCCTTTCCACCTTTGTTGGACAGGCATCAAACTAGATGTCTTGGGGAGCTGAAACACAACCAGCAACCAGGAAAAGTGTCCGGGACGAAATGCTGCAGGACATTGTGGCCATGGCAGATGAGCAACTGGTCTTCCAGAGAGGGAAGGAGGATTGGAAGGTTCAGAGAGGGAGGGAGACAACCAAGTTGGAAGAGAAAATGGTGACATCGTTCTTTGATCATGAACAGAAACTGAGGGAGAAGGCTGTGTGAGAGGCTGCTTGCACTCATAGCCACCAAACAGCAAGTCCCAGCTCCAGCAAACACAGAATCCCCATCATGCTACCACTTCCTGCAGCCTGTACAGCCACTGGACAATTCAGGGGTTCAGTGGGCCATGAGCCACTCACGGAACAGTACATGTACGGACATCCCACACAACACACTCCACCAGGGCAAAGGAGAACACACACACACACACACACACACACACACAAGAGACATTCAGTTTCACTACTGGTACAACCGTAGTGGTTGAACTTATACAGTTTGCCACTTCTGTCTGGCTGTTTGCTTATTCTGCTCTTTTGGTGTGGTTGTTTGTTTGTTTTGGCTTTTTGATGGCAGCTGGGAATGCCAAGGATTTTTCAATGTAATTGGAATGAATATTTTTCAATAAACTATTTGGGTTGCAAAAAGAATAATTCTCAATGTTCTATCCAAAGGATTTATTAAATCCAGAAGAATCAAAATCCATAATATAGCAGTAGCTTAATGCCTACATACAATAAAGCAGTGGCACATAAACTGCAATGTGCCCCGTTTGTTAGCATGTTAAAAATCACATCCTCTCATGCATAGCACCCTGTGAACACACAAGGCATCCCTGATTTCCCTTGCCTGTCCGGATCCAACCTCAGTAGTGTCAGGTGCATTGTCTACTTGTCTGTACCAGGCTTACAAACCAGCAGCATCCTGAGTCCACTTCAGGTGAAAACATTCTCCATTTTGCCTTGCAGAAATCGTGCAGTGGACAACAGGACACAATAATATGGATGGCACTGGCATCCAAATGTTTTTACAGACAGACTAGATGACCGTTTTGGTCCCTTCTAACCCTATGGTTCCATGATTCTAGTCCCATCTTGCTTTGAGTCTGCCAAATGCGCACTCCACCACATCCAGCAACTCCTGAACCTTCTTTTGCCAAGTCCTCTAACTAGGGTATAGTTTCATGAACCATGGTAGAAGAGGGTATACAAGGTCTCCTAATATAACAGGGGGCACTGAGACCCCTCTGATAACAATTTGGGAGGTACATGGTTCCCACTTGTCCAAAATGGTAAGTGCCTGATCTCCACAGAACCCTGGCATCTCACAGTGTTCATGGCATCTCCGCAGAACCAGTACATCTCAGTGTCCAGGAACCTGTCTCTGTGGTTGACCAAGGCCTGCAGAACAATGGAGTATTACCTTTTGGGTTGACATATTCATCTGCTCCTGGTGGAGGGCACATTATGGGCATATGAGTGCCATCAATGGCCCCAATACAGTTTGGAAAGCCCACTCTTTCAAAGCCAGCAATTATTTCAAGCACATTAGTTATGCCCACCACTTTTGGGTAAGCTGCGATCCTGATACAAAGGGAAAACAGATGTCTGCCGTAAAATGCAAGGCTATGCTTTTCCCTTCCCCCATGCAGCGACTAACGCAAATCTATCTGAGGTTCCTTAAATGGTATAATTACAATCCTGTAATCTCTGCTTTTGGGTAAAGCTGGTGTATAGCACTTTACGATGGTTTAAAGAAACCTTACTATTAGGTAAAGATAAATAATGTACCACTTAAACTTTGAGCTTTAACCTTATTTTTCAAAGACTTCCCAGCATTTGAGGTTAATCTCTCATTTAAGACTACAATCTGAAAAACCAGAAAAAGACATGATGCACCAACTTTCCCAATCAAAAAACCCTGAAAATATTTTAACTTCTTATCTTCCTAGCTTTTTGAATGCATTTTTAATACTATTCTATCAATCTGATTCTCCTGTATTCATCTGTGCACTATTTGCCAACAATCACAACATTAAAATAGTAATTCTATCAAATTCAATAAAGTTTGTCTAGTAGTTATAAATATCAAGATGTCACCTCAGGCTTGTCTGTAAACATCTTCTTTGTCATTCTTTTCAAACTATCCTCAATCCCTTTCCTGGAGTTCTTCAGGATTTCATCTGTCTGGTCCACTAACACCACAGTGTGACCAGTTGCTGCAGCAACCTGGGGAGAAGGGAGGGGAAGAAAGGAGCTATTAATGTAAAAGAGACAAGTCAATTGGGCTAATAGGAGGAAAAATGAGAAAGGGGAGGGGAGAAAATTAAATTTAAGCAGTTACTCCAGAGGATAAAGAGAACTGAGTTCATATCAGATAATCTTGATTTTGTATTTGGCACCTAAATATCGGATCATCTATAAACAATATTAAAAAAGAGAGACTGTCATTTTAAAATCTTAAAAAACACCTAATGTTCTTACTTATGTTACAAACAGCTCAGATTATTACAACTCAATCTTAAAAAGTCAGCTTTTTACTATATATGCTACTTCATTATTTATTTGCAGTGATGTTGCAGCTGTGTTTGTCCCAGGATATACGAGACAGAAGCTAGGCAAGGTAATATATTTTACTGGACCCTGTTGACAAAAGGTACAAGCTTTCGAGTTTCACAGAGATCTTCTTCACATCTGGAGAAGGAAACCAGAGTGTCGGAGCTAAATACAAGCTGGGACAGACAGCTAAACATAAGGGGTTAAACACATATGGTGGGAGACCATTTAAAATGAAGTGGGCAATTAAGGGTTAGAAGGCAGTGGGGTGTGTTACAAATTGTTGTCATGAGATACAAAACCAGTGTCTCTGTTGAGTCCATGATTTTTAGTGTCTAACAAAGTTATGACTAAGTTCCCAGGCTCGCCTTTTAAAGGTGTTGTGCAGGTTTCCCTAAAGGATGAGTACTGAGAGGTCAGATATGGAGTAGCTGCTTTGTGAAAAGTGTTTGTCCACATGAGATATTGTATTTGTGTCTTTTTATATCATTTGTCTGTGAGAGTTCCTCTAAATCTGTCAGATTTCACCCACATAGTTTTTTGGGCATTTGATGCACTGGATGAAGTACACCACATGATTCTTGAAAGGTGTGCTGTGGGGGTGGGGGGTGTTGATCACTATTCACTATTTATGCATTTGCATTCTTCTCATGTTGGACAATGAAAAATATTAGTTGATTTCATTTGCAGGTTTCTATGCATTAATACAGTGCTGCACTGTTGGGTTGCAAACCCTGCTAGGAAACATTAATTTGTTGAAACATCTGTTTTCACTGAAATTTTTTTTAAAGTTACACACATTTCTTTTGGCCTTTAGTTCTGTATAAGCTTTTTCCACCACCTGGAACAGCTGATCAAGTTTTCATAGATATGAGTGACAGTGTAAGACAAGACTGCTTCTTTATTTCCACCACAGCCATGGTGTAAGATTTCAAAAATTCCATATATTGTAATTTATCAGGCTTGAGACACAACTTCTACCACCACTGTGCTAACTCCTCCTTCACATTTCATCTATTGCAAATTACTTGTACACCAAAACAAGAAGTACAAGGATGCTATGAAGAAAAGGTGCAGTTAGAAGGCACCATACTGATGGCCAAGGACAAAAGATGGTTATAACATTCTACATCAGTGGTTGCACTATGGATCATGTCTAAGTTTTCCAAAGGGGTCTGCACTCCATTTGAAATTTTTTAGGGATCCAGACATGTAAAAAGGTTGAAAATCACTGTTCTACAAGGCTGCATTGCAATCTGCTATAACTATGTATTCCCTGTCTTTTGTTTAGTCTTTCTATATGGTGCTGAACAAAGTAATGCTTCCAAGTTGTACAAAGAAATGATGCAACAAAAATTCCCTTGAACTAGTTTATTGTTTTCTAAGGTCCTATACTAAAATATAGCAGGTGGCAGAGACTACTAGAGAGAAGGGAGTTATTAAAAAGACTACCACCTGTTTCAGGCCCTCACTCTTACCACAGCCACATTCACAGTTTCTTCTTTCAAAAAAGAGAAGAAAAACAGGAAGAGGTGCTGGTCACTTTACTGTAGTAACATTGCACTAATGGTACTTTCCATCCAAGGAGCCAAAGCTTTTTACAAACGGTCAATAAGAAACAAGACAACCCTGAGAGTTAAGTAGCACTGTCCCCATTTTACATGAGGAACTGGCAGAAAGAAATGTGAGTTGCCTGAAGTCACACACCATGCATGTGGCAAAATCAGGAATAGAATAAAAAATCCCCATTCCTGATCCTATTGTGACAGAATATACTCTTGTATTCACACCCTCCACCAGTGGTTCTCAACTTATTTACCATTTTGGACTGCATATGCAGCTCTCTCTGTTACACATGGGCTGCATCCACACAATATATATACTACCTGCATGGCCCTGAGTGTACCAAAAGGGGCGCTGTTATGCACTGCTTGGGCTACAGGTTGAGAACCACTGCCTTACACACTATTGTAATAATCTTTGTACAAATCATATCTTTTGAGGTATTATTTAAAAACTCAATTTGCTGGTCGTTATTGTCCTGGTAAAATATTTGTGGCAACACTGCATGTGAAGTTACAAGATTCCACTGTGTTATTAACACATGTTCCAAACGGAAGTTGAGAAACAAGTCTGTCCTAAACAAAGGAATATGTGCTCTGCTTAATTTGCATTTAAGCAGTAAACAGAGGCATCAAGCGGGAAGGGAAACAAAGGAAGTTCAACAGTTGAGAAAAAAAGCAGCAGGGAACATCCTTCCACATAAACTTTTTGTCTCCTGGTACTGAGCTGGAAATGTTTTTCGAGGGGGAGGGGGGAATTGAAACTATAAAAAGGAGGGAGAAACACACCAAGGGACCACTCACCCCCTGCCTGTCAATTCACTGCATCTGAAGGGACAAAACAGCTGTTGGACTGGGGGTGTGTGTGTCTTGATATAAGAAGTTTGATCAGTAAGACTACTGAAAGCATGTGGAGAGAAAACTTTTTTTAATTTAACAGTTTGTTAAATTAGGCACCAATAGCATTTTTCTTTATTTTTCTTGTAATCAATTCTGACTTTTATGCCTCATTACTTCTACACACTTAAAATCTCTCTTTGTAGTTAATAAACAAATTTTATTGTTTTATCTAATCCAGTGTGTTTAAATTGAAGAGGGTGGGAAACTCCATTTGGGGTGACAAGTTGTGTGCATATTATTTCTATTAAAGGAATAACAGGCTTAATATAACTTGTATTGTCCAGGAGAGGGCTGGGGAGTACAAGACACATATTTCTGCAGGAAAATCGAGGACTGGATGTGTGTTGGGATTACCCTGCAGTATAACCAAGGCTAGTGAGAGCAAGAGTGTAACCCAAGTGAAGTCGGTAGGCTGCAACTGCACACAGACACTGAGGGTGGGGCATGCATGCTGGAAGGCTGTTTGTGAGTTATTGTAAAGCAAGGTATTGCAAGGCAAGCAAGGTATTGTAAGGCAAGGGTGAAACAGTTGCTCCTTAGTCTGGATTGTACTGTATGTCACACCTATATTTGAGCAACAGCCAACCTCCCCCACTCGCAGTACAGAAAAGTTTAAAAGAAGGGATCTTCCAAAGCCTTAAAAGAAAAAACAAGTCACTGCAAATAAAAAAATGAAGTGTTGCTCCCAGGCAGTACCACAGTCACCCTCGCTCTGGGATAACCCCATATTTATAATTACAATAGGATGCAGTGAGCACAAGGAAGCAAAGTCACCCAAAGCATCCCTTCACCCTGAGGACTTGGATTCCTGCACACCAGGGTCCCTGTCAAGAACCATGCCTGTTTCTCTTTACAAACAGTTGCCAATAAGAGTCAGAACATGTAACAGAATTCACAATGGCCTTCAGTTGTCTCTCTGGACTAATGAATTTTAAATAGTGCGCACATTCCTGAAACTTCAGAGAACATATTTATGGATTTCACCAAATACTCATGTGGCACTGCATTTATTGAGAAAGGCCTTGAAGGCTTTTTCAGAAGAAATCCCAAATTCCAGTGATAAGGGTGTGAGAGATTATTTTTATAGAGAAATTAAAGTTATAGATGACTAACCTCACCTTAGGTAGCAAACAAATGCATGGACCTCCTTCCACAATAGATGCAACAAGAATATCAGAAAAAGCTATACCTCTGAGGGAGCACTACTGAGTTGTTAGAACAGGAAATCCAAAATTAGGAACTCCTGGGATTTACTCCTAGTTTGCTTTGTGACCTTGGGCAAATCACTGTGCCTGTTTTCCTGTCTGTAAAATGGGGGAAATAATAGCAACCTACCTCACAGGAGTGCTGTATGGCTTAATTATTGTTTATAAAGTGCTTTGAGATCTGTAAATGAAAGGTGCTATAGATGTTCAAAGTATTATTTTCCTTGTAAAATAAGTAAATATATCTGAAATAGTCCTGTCCCTGGCTTAGCAATCAGACATTTGATGGATAAAAATGTCAAGTATAAAGTGAACTTTACAAGTCAAAGGCTATAATGGCTGAACATTCTGGGAAAACAAGCAAATCCCATTTAAATATTAACCCACTGTAAAACACTACAGATTACAAATAAAGATACAGTATCTTAACAAAATGAAATTTAGTTCTCTCGCTATTTACTGAGACTGTCAATCAATCTGTTCCTCCTCAAGCTGGTACTAAATCATTTTCATAGGGCTTTCTTCTTCTGCCTTATCAGTCAGGCAGTGTGTGAAAGATTCACAAGAAATACCCAAACTTTGTACTTTTCCGTGACAAATACAGATTGGAGAATTGGGAAAAACGCTCTGAACACAAATATACATTGGAAAGGCACGGCTTGTATTAAAATTAAAAAAAAAAAATTCTACTTATTTTGTACCTCATAGCGTTGCAAGTAATCCCTCTGGCGTGATCTTGCACTGAGTCCAAATGGACAGGCTGCATGTCTCTCACAGAACCCCACTGGCTTCAGTGGGACAGCAAGGGAGCTAATTTCAAGACTGGGGTCTAAGATTACTATAGCAAAGATTTTAAAAATATTTGTTTTTGCAGTGTTTGCTTTGTGCATGACCATACTTTGTGTAGTTACCATTTCCCCTACATAGTCAGTTTCTCCATTGTTTTGTCAAACCCCCATAAACATTTTAAAAGACTGGAAAATGTTACTGTATAATCACAAAACAGGGTAACTCAGCAGTAGGTGCAACACCTGCAACTACTTTTAATTCATTTTTTGAAAATGGACCAACTTACACGTTTACTGTGTCCCTACTGAAGCTGAATCCAATTCATATCTATTCTAATACTAATGTGGAGCACAAAGGGGATGAAGAAAATTAATGCATCAACTATGCTGAACAGGTTGTTGCAGTTTCTCACATGTTTTTATGAAGAGAGAAGAGATGACCACATACAGGTTAGAACATACTCAAAAGTTGAACAGAGTGTTTATGTAAATCCAAAGTCCCAGGTTATCAGATGTTTAAGAACAAAGTTTTGAAGACCTGCCTACACAGGACATTTATGGAGCTAATTATGCTTAGAGTTAAAATATCAAGCCAAGTTACGTGACTCATGGTAGAAAGACAGCCTGTGGCAGAAATGACAAGACATAACAGAAACCATAAGAGCGAAGAAGTGGCAGAGGCAGCGTTATTTATATTATGCTAATCCTCAGGGGCCCTAATCAGGATCAGGGCTCCAAGGTGCTAGGTACTGTACAAATACATACCAGGATACCTGCTCTCAAATAATCTATGACAGTTAATCTACAGCGGCTGGGGTGACAACTGGCTGAAGAGGTCCGGGACGAAGTGGGAAGAAACAGCAACAAAGCCAGGAGTAGTTAAACGGGCCTGTTCTCCCTCCACATGCACATGACCCCTGCGCGCATGAAGAGGAGCACAGCCAGCCAGGCTCACTCCCGCAGGGCAAACTACCAACTCGGCAGGGAGGCGCAGAGCTGCACGGAGAGGACACGCCGCCCGCTCCGCGAGGCGCTCCCGAGGCGGAATGCAGCCTCCCCCTGCCGTGCCCGGGGGGCGCAGAGGGCCCGCCAGGCCCGCCCCGCCCCCGGGAGCTCCGCGTTAAGGGATAACGCAGGCCAAGGCGGGCCAGGGGCTACTTGGGCAGCCCACGAGCCCGGGCTCCCCGCAGCGGTGCTTCCCGCTGTCCCTGGTGACACGGGCCGGGCCGGGCGGGGCAGAGACTCTTGGGGGCGCCCCTTGCTACCCGCCCCGGGACTCCCTTCCCCAGCGGGGTGAGGCCCGGCCTGGCCCCGCCGCTCACCTGGGCGATGCCCGCGCCCATCAGGCCGCCCCCGATCACGGTCACATGCTTCACGATCAGCTTCTTGGCGGCGGCGGAGGACGCGGAGCGCACGAAGCGGCGCGTGGCGAAGGCCATGGCGAGCGGAGTGAGCGGGCGGGGGCGGCCGCAAGCAGAAGCCCCGCTGGGGGGCGGTGTCACGGGCAGGGCGGGGCCGCGGCAGCCTCTGGCTACGCCCACCCCGGGGGCCTCGGGCCCGGGCCCGCGGCGCGTCCCCCCCCGCGGGAGTCGAGGGCAGCAATCGCCCACACGCCCGTGCCCAGCCAGGGGGCAGCCCGCTCGGCCCCGGGGCAAGAGCCATCCGCGTAAGATCCCCCAACCCCCATCCCCTGAAAGGGCAGTGCACCGGCCCGGAAGGCATGAGCTGCTGCCAGGCCACCCCCAGCAGATGATCATTAACCAGCCTTACTTCATAATAAACAGCAAAAGGCAAAATGTGCAAAAAAATAGGTAACCTTTGCCCCATGCATCAAAATGCATATCCCTTTTTCTTTTCTTTGGTGGATCCACAAGCCATGGTTGGCAGGAATGCTCATGCTAGAGATAAGGGTCAGTACAGCCAAGTCATCTTTCACTCTTTTTTTTTTTTTTTTTAAACTAGTATAAGAGAGAGAGAAAGAAAGAAAATTGCATATAATGGAGGCCCTGATTTTGATTCTTAACCGTTTTACCACCTTTATAAAGTGAATGAGGTGTTCTGAGGGAAGCTTAGTGCTTTCCACATTATCATTACCGATTTTGATTCCTCAAAGGGTTAAAACAGCAACAAAAAGCCCATGCATGTTCAAAACGGGCTGCTTGGTGGAATCTACTACTGGTGGACTCAATGAAGTAACTGCCTAAGATACATACACTAGCAAAGGTCAAATTTTATTGCAGGCAAAGGTATCATAACTGCTGTTACTGATTACAGTAATTCCTCACAGTAAGATGTATTCTATAACATATAACAATAGTAAGTTTTGGTGTTAGTTCTAATGGGCAGTAAACAAAAATGGACCCCTTCTTTAACAGGTGATCCTTTCTTTGTAGGATGCTGAAGATTGAATTATACCAGGCACCAAGCTCCATTAATTCCCACTGACTTCACTCAGACTTCAGGGCACTCAGGAAACAAGCTTTAAACATGATTATTTATAATCATTTAATTGGAATTTTCTTCTACACCATAATAGATCTTGGAGGCAGGTTTTGATACCATCAATTTAAGTAAAAGCTTAGGGCCTGAGTTACACATACAAATAGGGTACAGATTCAAGCCCTTAAAAGCTGATTGTATAATCCTATTTGACATGTTCAAAACAAATTGAACCATTTTTGCTTGTACATGACAAGCATTACCCAAATGTTTGGTGAGCTGAAAAGATTGTTAAACATTTGTAGGAAATACTGAGTTTGTGTAAGAAAAAAATACAAACATTAAATTCACAGGAACACAGTTTAAAAAGAAAACAAAAATATTTGGCATTTTGCATCTGTTCAAGGCAAGCAATAAATTTTACATTCCCTTTTACCCAGCTTTTTCCATGATTGAGAAATCTGTTTTACCAGCAACTGCCCTGCCATGAGACCATTCTAAAGATTTTAGCTCAACCTCAATGCTGGCACAAGCATACTCAACTCTACCGGCTTATCCCAGTGATTACATTAACTTTGGTATATAGGGGAATCTCACTTCTCCCTCTCTAATCTACTAAAGGACAGCCTGAGCAAGCACCAACTGTAGTACTGCCATCACCAAAGTGTTTATTTTTTAAAAAATATTATGATGGGTTACCCCCCATTCCGGGGTGCCACCTGATGTACTGGGTACCAATGAGCTCACCTATTCCACCAGCCTGGGCTCCCTTACCTTGTCCTGCTGAGCGAGGCCATCAAGCCTCCTCCAAACACACTGTACAGTATAAACAAATTTAAATTTGCCCTCTCCCTCAATGTGGAGAGAGATATACACTGTTCTACACACACACACACACACACACACACACACACACACACACACCATGAATTCCACAAACTGGGATTAGCGAAAACAAAACAAGTTTATTAAGCGATCATAAGGGTTAGCAAATAGATCAAAGCAGATTACCTCAGTAAATAAACAAAAGCCACAAACTGAGCTTAACACACTAGATAGGTAGGATATAAATTAGGAAATTCTCATGCTGAGTGTTAAGCAGGCTGGCAGACTCTTAAGGCACAAATTGCCTTGGCTTTCCCACATTTTCACACACAGGCTAAAGATCCTTCTAGCCTGGGACCACCACTTCCCACAGTTCAGTCCTTGTCCCTTAGCTGTTTCCAGGTATGTTGTTGCAGGGAAATTGAGATCCCCCTATGATGTCATTGTCCCCCCTTTTATATCTTCTTCCCATTTGCTGGAAAGCTCTTTTGCTGTGACCTGGGTCAAACAGTTCCCATTGTGTAGTGCTATCTCTGAGAGTTTTCTACTGTACACAATTCCTGGGGTAATCCTTGTGTGCATTTCCTCAATAAGTCATTAATATTGTTTGGCCTTTTTACTGTTGTACCTGAGAGGCTGCTTGTGGTGCTTTCAAACTCACAGCATGTTACAGTAACACACACATAGCCAAACTTCATAACTTCACATACAATGATAGCACATACAATCCAATGAGATATTAATGTCTAGCAGATCAAGACTTTTAGAATGACATCTCACAAGACATACTTGGTACAAAACACATCCTAATTACATGACAGTGGTGGATATTGGAATGTCAGGGTGTCACAAGTATATTGTGTTTTTATTTGCTTTCAAATGCTTGCTTGGGCAGCTTATTATTCTGGGGAAGTTCTACAGCTTATGATATAAAGGAGGTCAGACTAGATCCAATGGTCCCTTCTGGCCTTAGAATCTATGTAGTGTTTTGAATCTGTTGAGTTACACTTGGATCACACTTTCAGGCTTTTCTTCCCAACCCATATGTATAAACTTTTTTTTTTTTTTTAATTACAATCTGAATCACAAGAATGTAAGTGCTGGACTTTAAGAAAAATACCTAGTATTGAGCGAGAGAGAGACTATAAAATCCCACCAGTTAGCAACATACTGTGACAAAGTTTATTTGAGCAATTCACCAAATTAAGTTGGTTCTTCAGAAGAAATTAAGTGCACTCATCTTTGGCATTTTGTGCTAAAAGATCACCGCAACAAAAGCTGGTTTTGAGATACAGATAAGGTGCTTTGTTCCTTAGTAAACTTTATCTGATTGAAGATTATTCAGGACTACAGCTGAAAACAAGCTTCACCCAAACAGAAATTCTATTGCTCAGTATTCATCGATATGAACTGAACGCCTGCACTGAGCTCACCCCAGCTCTGCCTGAGGGAGATTTTACCAAACACTCAAATCCTATTCACATATGCAGAATAATATTAAGCAAAATAAGCAAAGCTCCCTAGTCAGGACTCCCAGGAGCACAAGAGAAAAAGATCCGCTTCTCTTCAGCCAGGTGGACCCCACAGTATTTTGTATGAAAGACATGAGGAGGGGAGAGCTCTCCTATTAGGTTCAGCAGGAGAAACAGAACTGCTCTCACCTTTATCTGATGCATGTCTTGATAATCTCTCTCCTTACAGTATTTCCAAAATGCTGCTGCTGCTGTCTTCCTCTGCTGCTGCTGCAACTAAACATACACCCCCATCACTAACTTTCTACTCCTCTTCCATTTTAAATTAAAAAATCCTTTCTCGACATGATCACCAGCTACCAGGGTGGGGCAGCCTACATGGCATCAATTAAAGTTATCTTCTATACTATACAGATTATTGCTCTTTAGGGCAGGGCTCATCTTTTCATTCTGTGTTTGTACAATGCCTAGTACAAGGTGGTCCTGGTTCATGACTAGGGCTTCTAGGTGCTACAGTAATACAAATAATAATATAGAATGATTATGATTTTGGTACAGACAAGGTTCCAATTCTTGGAGCTATTAAGGTGACACTCCCAGTTCCTATGTTCCCTACTCCCAAGTGTGGTGTTGTATAAACAGTAACAATAATAATCTTTAATATTCTTGCCATGCTAAATGGGTAATTTGTCATATGGTCTGCTTGGCTTGAATGGTATCTGAAGTAGGCAATATAGCCCACTGGCATGTAAGTTACTTTAACATACTGTGCCAGAGCGTGACCCTATTCAACATCACATCATGCAGCATTGGATTCTATGTACGATCAGAAGCTACAACTCTCAAGGGACTATTTGTAAAATAACAGTTTTCAAAAGTAATGTGACATTTTACATACCAAATTTCTCTGCAGATCACTGGTTTAGAAGGCAGACTGCAGCAAGAGCACACGACAATCTATGTGCAATTCCATATAATCAATATGTAAGTACCTATTCCTATTATTTTATGTGTAATTTCTTTGGATTCTGCCAAAATTTTAAAGTGCTTACCCTCTACATAAGAGGATAAGTGTATGTACTTTGTATAATCAATCAGTTGCATAGCCAGCATTATCATGGTGTTTGGGTAGGCATTTAACAGAAGTCAGATAAAAAATTATCAGCATTTTATTGTAGCTTTGCAACTGACGATTTCTAGAATAAGGATTTTCAGACAAATTCCAGCTGTGCAGGAACCTCTTCACCTCAACCTCCTCTAAGGAGATTTCTTGTGTATGGTAAGAAGGGTAATTAGCAACATTCATATAGCCAAGTCCAGATTGGTGAACCAACAGGTAGTCTCAGAAATGGCTTGATACAAGCCTAAGGGTACGTCTATATTTACCCGCTGGTTCGGCGGCAAGCAGTCGATCTTCTGGGATCAATTTATTGCGTCTTGTCTAGACGTGATAAATCAATCCCGGAGGTGCTCGCTGTCGACGCCGGTAATCCTGCTCCGCGAGAGGAGTAGGCGGAGTCGACGGGGGAGCCTGCCTGCTGTGTGTGGACCCGCAGTAAGTACCTTTAAGTTCGAACTAAGATACTTCGACTTCAGCTACATTATTCACGTAGCTGAAGTTGCATATCTTAGTTCGAACTGGGGGCTTAGTGTGGACCAGCCCTAAGATACCACTGGCAAATGACTGAAGTGGGCACTGACTTACAGACTGGTCCCACAGTTTGCAACTGGGTTCCATAGACACATTGTGCATTGTCTCATCTTCCAGAGATGAGAGCGTTGACAGCATCTACCATGTGATGTTCTCAAAACAGTTCAATGTGGACCACTGTTTTTGGGGTAGATTGAAGCCTAGAAGTTCTTTTCTGGTGTCTGCAATGAGGTGTTTGAGACATTATCCCAAATTTTTTTCCAGTGGGCCTCAGTATTGAGTAAGGACAATTTAAGAGCTTTACCCATTCCCAAAAAGAATGGAGAGATTTCAGGCATGTCTTTGGAAGGTTCTAGAGGTCCTCATGAACTGGTAAGTTCAGGTTGGACATGGTTCACTTGTACGCACAAGCTGTATGTGTGTGTGTGTGTGTCTCTCTCTCTCTCTGGATCTTGGGTGAGAGTGTATGTGCCAGAGTGGGCAACCATTGAACGGGTGTTGATTTTCATGTGTGTTATTGTAGTATTTCATTGTAGTATTAAGCTGCCTGTCCAGACCGATGTGCAATATTCAGCAATCAAGAACACATGCTAGATGCACTGTTTGAAGTGTCCACATGTAGTGGCACCCCATGTTGTGTCTACATGGTTTTTGGACAAAGCTAGTCTTCGCTTTTTGCATGTCTTCTTCAGATGAACTTTAAAAGTCAAGCTTCTGTCCAAAGTTGCACCCAGGGACTTTGGATAGAGCTCATTTTGGACCTGTTGATCGCTGAAGGTCACACTAAGTAGTTCCTTGGCAGCTTTGTTCTTTAGGAGAAAGGCAGTTACCAAGATTTTTGGAGGAGGCATTGGGGCTGAGTTTCCAGTATTGAAAGTATTCTGCCATTATCTTGAGGTTGGTGAAGAGGATGTTGCCGATGATAGTGAGGCCTTTTGCCTTGTACCACAAGAGCAATGTCATCAGCATAAATGAATTTATGTGAAATTGTGTAACATAAGTCACTAATATAGATGTTGAATAGTGAAAGAGCCAGCAGGGATCCTTGAGGTTAACCATCATTGAGGATGCATGCTTTGCTGATCTGCCCTTTCAAAAGGCATGCAATATTTACAGTGGCTGAACACTGTGGTCAGGAGTTGCACAGAGCTATGGTATTTGATGACCCTTGATACCTTGAGCCATAGCCAATCTCTTCATACCATGTCATAGGCAGTGGATAAATCTATTAGTGCTGTTCTGGGTTTTAGAATCTTCTGGAAGCCAGCCTCAATGCAACTTTGTCCCAGTCTGAAACTGGCCTGTTCCTTTGGCAGGATGACCTCAAAGATGGGGTGAGATGGGCCAGTAAAATCCGCTCCATTAACTTATAAGTTGTGGAGAGGAGCAATATTGGGCGATAACTGGCAGCATTATTTGGTGGTTTCCCATGTTTGAGGAGGCCAATGACTATTGCCTCATTCCAGCTTTTTGGAATCTTCCCTGTTTAAATACATAGCAGTAAATAGGTCTGCCAACCATACTTGTCCCTTTGGACCCAAATTGTTAAGGAAATCAGGATAAAGGCCATCCTTGGCAGCAGGTTTTCCACTTTTGGAGGCCACGAGGGCCTTGTTTATTTCTTCTGCAGTATAAGGAGATGATAGCAATGAAGTGGTAGGGCTGCGTCGGACATTTGAAAAGAGCTCTTTCCTCAATCTTCTGTCTAGTGAACTTGTTGGTTTTGATCTTTGAGTTACAGAGAAGGTGTGCGGCAACAGAATTGGCTGTAATTTTCAGTTGGTGTTGTTTCACTAAGTCAGCAGCTCCAAGCTTATGGAGGAATGCCCAGGCTTTGCAACTGAAATGAGTGAAGTCAAGATTCTCCACTGTCTCATTCAATCTCTTCAGGCGAGCAGAGTTCAATGACTCTATTCCTGCTTTTTCGGTGTCTGGATCACCACTCTTCTCATGTTCTTTGAAGAATGCTTCTGTCTCCAGCTGCCAGCAAGAAATACAGACCTTGCGATATTTGTGAGGAATGCGTTTAATAAGAAGGTGAACAAAGCGGTCAGTTTTCTGGGATTGGTTTGATACGGTCTTCAACTTCTGCAGTATATGCAACCCAGTTTGCTTTGCAGAAATTCTTGCATGGTTTTGGTGCTGATTCAATCAATGGAACTCCAAAGCAGACATGCAGAATAATGTGCCATTGTTGGCTGCAAGGAAATTTCTAAGGACTGTTCCTGAAGCTTGCAGAGGAATACCAGAATTGTCTTTAATCAGAAAGCATAGGTCGAGATTGTGTTTAGTATTCCAGCTGGCCAAGTGAAAAGTCAATAGTTTTAGGGTCGGGGGAAAAAAAAATGGACATTTGCAAACAAGGCCCAACCTGTGAGTTGCTAACCAGTTGCATCATTTCTACAAGAAAATGTCATTCTCCTTAAGAACTCTTGAAAGATAGTCACGCTTAGCATGTGACAAACCTTCTAGAATTAAGTTGGTACACACGTGGAGCTGGTCCAACGGTTCTTCAATGCTGTCCCTGACAAGGACTCAAAGATTTCACATTGCTAAAACCATACCAGGAGATCAACAAATTGATGTCTCGTAGCCTTTTGACAACATCTGTTGTGTAAACAAACAACATGTAACGGGAGCATCACATGAAGGTTTTTGTCTTGCAAGAGAGTAAATATTTCAAAGCAGTAAATTTTTGGCAAAGTTAAATATACTACTACTAACACTGCTAGTATTGGTTCCAACTCAACTCTTTACTATCCTATAATGGTTTTAGGATGCTTGTTTGAAAAGACAAATTACAGCTCATTAAATTACAGTTTGTTATTTCTTCTTTTATAGTCCTATTGTATATAAATTTTCCAGTTTTCTTTTCACTTTCACAGTTTGATGGTTGTTGGATCTGGGATTTTAATTTGGCCTATTAGTGTAGGTCTACACAGTCCACGGCAGCAAGCCTCTGAGCTCAGGTCAACAGACTTGGGCCCACATGGTGTCCCTAGCCTCTGTTTGCCAGAAACTGGGAATGAGCGACAGGGGATGGATCACTTGATGATTACCTGTCCTGTTCATTCTTCTGAGGCACCTGGCACTGCCCACTGTCGGAAGACAGGATACTGGGCTAGATGGACCTTTGGTCTGACCCAGTAGGGCCATTCTTATGTTATTACCACACTACAAATAGCTGTGTAGACATTGCAGCTCAGGCTGGGGCTCAGGCTCTTAAACCTAGAGAGCGGGGGTGTGCCAAGCCACAACTTAAAAGCTCTGTCCTCAGAGCTATTTCTAGCATAGTAGCGTGAGCTCAAGTCTGTCGACTCGGTCAGAAGCTTGCTTCTACTGGCTGTGTAGACGTACCCATAGAGAGCATGAGATAGGGCTCTCCTTGGAGTGTGAATCTGAATTTTCATGAAGTCCCAATACTCAGGAGTGTTCTGATCCAGGATCCAGTGAGGCATTTTGGTTTGGCCCCATCTATAAATTACAAGTCACTTAAATTAAAAAAATAAAAAATCCTCCCAGGTTACAGAAAGTGTCCTCTAGTCCAGCGATACTCAGACCTCAGTGGTTCAGGAGCCAAATTAGCGATCAACATTATCCAAAAGAGCCACAGTAGTGTGAATTCATTGTTTCATTTACTATAGTACTATATATTCATATTTAAATAGTATGATAGAGAAATATATAGTTTATTATATATAGTTCTCACAGCAAAATGACTGACCAAGTATGATTTTATCACCTACAATTGGTTAATAACATAGTAAAAGCATCCTGATTGGTTAATAATTAAAATCACACTATGTTTTAATATCTAGTGCTGCAAAGAGCCGCAGGAGAAACATTAAAGAGCCACTTGCGAGCCTTAGTATCACTGTTCTTGTCATTTCTAACACTCTTCAGCAACATAGCATTTATTTAGTCACCATATTTCTTCATACAAACATACAAATCCCTTAAGTCATTTAATGCTTCCTCTAGTATTAGTTGATCACATCCTTCCTTTTGTCTGGCAAGTGTATACACAAAGCACTTTGAAAACATATTGACCAAAATGACACTTGATACTTGTAAAGCATCGTGTGTTATTTTGGTCTTTTGTCCCAAAATTAATGGTAACAGATTGGGTAACTGTATCTTTAAAAAGGAATTAAAAGGTGAAGAACATCAAATTGGCTGCCATGCTCTCATCTAGTCACTTTTGGAACTCAGCAGCTAACCCTGAGTTACTAGTTCATATTCAAGGAATGTTCACCAATCATTTTTATTGAATATGTTTTCATACCTTAGAACGATAAAAATATAAAGCTGAATTTGCTAAGTGCAGTCTCTCTTCATTTAGTCTTTTTTCAAGTTTCTTCATCTCTTCAAAGCAATTATATTGAATGGATATGGAGCTAAAGTTAGACCAAATCTTCCTTCCATGGCTGGTTTTGTAGCATTATCAGGATACAAAAAGGTGAAATTTTGCATGAGATTTACAAACATCAAGAACAGCTCCATTTTTGCCAGCTGCTCTCCCATGCACACACGTTTACCTAAAGAGAGGTTAGAAAGGTAAATATTACTGATCCTTATACTGTTGACTCATTCAAATACAGCCCTACAATTTCCCTACAACCTTGTTCCAAGCAGAGAAGGACTCAGATCTGAACTTTTTAAAGTTGGGATTCAGAGTCTTGGTTTGGATTTCACTTGGTTTTATTGCTTAACATTAGAAGCACATACAGTCTTAACACTTTATGGCAGTAAAACCACTTCTATAGTATCACCTGATCCATCTTGGGGACACTACTGGAAGAAGGTTGCATTTATTTAAACAGGCAGCTGGGGTTGGTAGGAACTAAATTACTGTGTTTTGCAGGACACTCCCAAGAGGTTAAAAAAAAAAAAAAAAGCTTAAGTAATCAGTGTGCACCATACATGTTCAACTTTTATTCTATTTTCAACAATGAATATTATTTTCTATGACAAAATAAGAAAATGACAAATGCCAAAGGCTTTTTGGAAGTGTAACTCTCACCCCAAACTTTAAACAAAAAAGCCCATTCCAGCTGTATCTAGATATTTTACCAATTCCGAAAGGAATGAACATTTCTCTTTTGATTAGCTGGCCATTTTCATCCAGAAATCTTGTTGGTTGGAAGTCATCTGGTCTCTCCCATATATTTGGATCTCTGTGCACTGACCATAAGTTGGGCACAATCACACTGCCTTTAGGAATAGTATATCCCCGTAGCACTTCAAAACAAAAACAGAGACAGGAGATTTGATAGCTGTTAGGAGCAAACATGAGCGATTTCATGCTTAACAGAAGAGGGACTATAGTTATTAAACAATAGCTCAGATCCTCAGCTATGGACAAGAAAACACCCACCACATCTCAGGGCAGAGGGTGAAAGTCTGGGTGCAAACGTGGTCCTTGTGCTCCCCCAATTCTGGGCAGCCAGAAGTATACTAAATTATGCTAATTGTCAGGGATCAACAGGGTGTGGGAAAGTCTCAGCCATGTTATGTTTCCAGAAAATCTCACTCAATATGCCAGCAGCAGACAGGAAGATTGAACAGAAGATGTTGTCCCACTAGAGGAACCCCTTACATTGGGATGATCCTCCCATAACTAGCTAATGCTGATAAAACTAGAATTCACTGGTGATGCACTGCAAAGCAAACACTGCATGATGTGCGCCAATCCCTTTAGTTTACTCAAATCATTTACCATTATCTAGAATAGCAGAGACATTTCAGATCTTCTACTGTTGCAACCATTAAGCTGACCCAAAAAGTTTCACAGGAACACAGACAGGACCAGGCCTATACTGCCAGCATTTTGAACACAGGACTTCCTCAAAATGTATTCCACTTCAACAATATTCCCCTGCCCACAAAAATCTATCTGTTCCAAAACCTTGCCCTCTCCCCCATGTCCATTAATTCCATCTTCCCTTCCCCATCCTCACACGCATAATCCTTCCCAATCTCTAGTAAATCTTGGCCTATCATGTTTCCCCTTTCTAGTTCCTAGTAATTCACTAAGGCTCCCCTATCTGGCAGCTGTTTATCAGAGCTGGCAGGCCATCCCACAAACTCTGATTCCAACCAGCAATTTGTCCTGCAGTCTGTCTGCAAGCTATTTGACTGGGTGGCGACGATGTCCCCTCTGATGTCCAGCTCAGTGGTCAGTTGGATTTGTGCTGGAGATGTCAGAGCTCCAGGCCAGAGCACCAAGTGTCAGCTACTGAGAGGAAGGAGAGGGTCTGCCTGTAACAGCTACAGGAATCCCACTCAAACAGGGCCGGCTCTGGCTTTTTTGCCGCCCCAGGCAAAAAAGCCTCCGGCTGCCCCCCCCCCGCGGGAGCCGGAGCTCCGCTCTCCCCCCCGGCGGCCGGGGGGAGGGCGCGGGGGGGAGGGCGGCCGGAGCCCCGGGGGGAGGGCGGCGAGCCCGCTCTTCCCCCGGCGGCCAGAGCGCAGGGGGTAGGGCGGCGAGCCCCGGCAGCCGGGGGGAGGGCGGCGAGCCCGGCCGTGGCCCCGCTCTCCCCAGGGGCCGGAGCGCCGCGCCGCCCCCCTCCAGGTGCCGCCCCAAGCACCAGCTTGGTGGGCTGGTGCCTGGAGCTGGCCCTGCACTCAAAGCAGCAGTGGCTTGGCACCAGCTCTCCTCCTCCACATACACTGTTGTAGAGTCTAGCAGAAGGATGTAGTTCATCTCTCCATGACCTTGAAGCACTGCGGGGGGATGAAAGGAGGGAATTCTCCTTTAAGCAGCTAGCATCACTGTAGCAGGTGTTGAACAATTTAAAGAAGGATATGCTTTTGGGTGGCTTGCAAGATGATTTTTTGCTACCTCCCACCCAGGTTAACCAATTCCTGTCTACCACTATCACGCCCCTGGCAATAGGGACCAGCAACATGACTTTGGGAGAGGGTGAGATTATGGTTTTCTGTAGAAATAAAAACCAGCAGCACATTCCTTTCCAGCTTAGCGATCGGTTTACATCACGTTAATATTTTCAAGGCTCTTTGTGCCAGGAAAAGGGCTAGAGACTTTTTTGTTTTTGTAAAATGAAAGCTGAGATTCTCTTTACTATTCCCAAAGGCTGAGTCTATCAACAAAGGCTCACGCAATTCCTGTTCATCAGCAGATAGGATTCTAATTATGAAATACAGTACTTGGGCATCTTAAATTAATCACTTTGGATGATCAGATAAAGATTCCTAGCCCTTGTCTAAAGAGATGGCATTTTACACACTGAAGTTACATCTGTACCTGCATAACTTCAATCTTCATAAAGTTCTCACCACCTGTCCCATCAGACATTTCAGCCACAAAATGTAAAAAAAACCAAAAACAAACAAACCTACAAACACTTACCAGCAGTTGCTGAGGCCATTCGAGGAACAGAAAGAGGAACAACCACAGTCATCCTCTGTACCTCCATGATGGTTGCCTCTGTGAAGGGCATATGAGCCTTGTCAGTGAGAGAAGGAGCTCTGTCACGCCCGATGACCACTTCAATTTCTGCATGAACCTTTTCTATGCAAAAGAAGGGAGGAGTAAAGAGAAAGATTAAAACTAGGAGCAAAGGCACTGACGCACTTTCAGATTTACATTACACTCCATCGTAATACAGTTGAGGAAAACTATGAGTACTGATAATAGGATGGCTAGAGACTTTCACTTCTAGGCAGCCAAGGGCATAGGAGTTTTCTAATGACAGTTCAGAGGTTGCTGGTCCTTTAAAGGGAGTCTGTGCCCAGACTACCTACGAGGAGCTAAATTAAAGAGCCCATCTGGCTAATGAGCACCTGGGCCAATAAAAGGTCATCAGAACTCAGTTACAGGTAGATGCTCACAGAGAGAGAACCTCTCCTAAAGGAAAGGAGCTTCCAGGACTGAGAACCACAGGCCCCCAGGAGGAGGGCTGTGCAACCCCGAGACCAGGGAAAGAGGCTGAAGAAGCCTCATGGCCAGGAACAAGAGGTGGCACAACAAGACTCCCAGGCAGGCCACATGAAAGCAGAGAAAAATATTATGATGTATAAAGTATTGGATGGCAGATCACACCGGTAAGGAGATAGTGCTGTTTTATAAATCAATGTTTCACACTCCCCTGGAATACTACGCTCAGTTCTGGTCACCTCATCTCAAAACAGCAGAAAGAGATGGGGTTCAAAGACAAGTGACAAAAATGGTTCAAATCAACAGCAAAAAAGAGAAAAATTACTAGCATGTGTAAGTGGAGAAAGAGGCTAAAGACACGAAACTCACAAACACCTTTTAAACCCCAACCCATGAAGTGGATTTTAGAATATTTTTCATTCATATTATTGCTCTGTTAGCCGAAGTGGTAAAAACACTCCAACTCCTATTAGAGAGACAAAGTTGGGTGAGGAAATATCTTTTATTGGACAGATTTCTGTTGGTGAAAGAGAGACGCTTTCATGAGGCACTGCTGCTGATCCCTGTCGTACCCCTTCTCCTGCATTCCCTGAGCAATTTGCTTTCAGATGTTCACATTTCTACAGCTGGTCTGTAGCTGTACCTGCACAGTCTTTTTTCCCCACAGGCCCAAGAGATCCAATATCTCCTGTTTACTCCAGGACAGAGCATGTCTAGAGCATGCAGCTGGCATGGTCAGCTGGGGAGTTGCACACAACAATGGAGAACTGCTAGATGTACTCACCAACTTCCAAGCTGGACAATCAGGAAAATGCGTTTAAAAATTTTGTAGGGCTTTAAGGGGGCAATTTCCAGTCCCCGTGAGCCCTCGGCGGTGGAGTTCAGAATTGTGACCAGAGCAGTCAGTATTAGGTATTGTGGGACAGCTGCTGGAAGACTATTAAGGTCAACATAGGTAACGCAATGGCTTGGGCGAGCCCCGGGCCATCCCGTTTTTACTTTAAGAAATATGATCATCCTAGAAAAGAGTTTGTCCCTAGGTGATACGGTGTTTGGCTGTTCCTGTTCCAATCTAAGAACAGGCAATAAAATGGTGTTTTAAATTAGCACTGAGTGAACTCATTTATCTCCAGAATGCTGAACTGCTGTCCTATTGTATAATCTTTGCCCGAAGAAGATTTATGATTGAGTTTGGAGAATAAACTATTACCTTGACCTTTTTAAAGAGATTACTCTAGATTAGGAGGCACTGACAGAAGTGTTGTAGGTAGTACTTACTACAGCCACGTCACAGTGCCTCGTACTTGAAACCTTCTTTGTCTAGTAGATATTGCAGCTCGGGCTGGAGCTCAGGCTCTGAAACCTAGAGGGGGGGTTCCCGGCCAAAACATCAATGTATCCAAGTTTGACATGTCAACTAGCTGCAATACGTGCTTTAGATACATATCTGGAAAATTTAAGTGGCAAATGCACAGTATGGCAGGGATTGCGTGGGCAACATTAATGCCATTTGGGGTACTTATGTTTTTCGGGAGAGGGCTTGTATTTGATTTCATTTCATTACATATATAATAAAACTAGGATATTGAGGTGCTCTACCAAGTATTAGCCCTTTAACTTACTTATACCTGTTTATAACTTTAATTTCAGATTAACACAATTTTGGGTTACTTGCCTGTCTGCCTTCCTGATAAAATACAGCACTATATAAAAACAACAACGCAGCCTTGTAGTCCAGTGTAGAGTAAATACGGTTAGAAAAGTCTCATTTACCTTGTACTTCTGGGTGGAGAGACATATAGAGCAGACACCAGAGCAGTGTGTTGGTAGTGGTGTCAGTACCTGCGATGAAGAGGTCACCAATGATAAAAAACAGGTAGTCTTCGTTAAAGCTGCTCTCACTGTTGCTCTTTCTCTCCTCTTCCACTTGGAGGAGATACATATCAATGAAGTCCCTGGGATTTTCTCTATCCAGGGTGTCCCTGTGCTGTGCAATTATTTTCTTTAGAAAAGCTGTGACATCAAACTCAATTTGTCTCAGTTCTCTGAAAGGGCCAAAGGGAAGATAATACAGCCAAGGACAAATGTTGACCAGAAGTACATGGCTGTTTACACTTATCTCTAGCGCACGTGACATGAGACTTAGCATGGTCTTAAACTCAACGTCTTCATAGTCAAAGCGCCTGCCAAAGGCCATAGAACAGATAACATTGGACACAGAGTTGCTGATAATAGGAAAGGGGTTAAATGGATCCTTTCCATATCTTAGCATTTCTTCCTTCACATACTTCAGTTCTTCAATGATTTTGGGTTCCAGGCTATGCTTTCCTAATCCAAAATGACGAAGAGTTGAGTGAGAAAACTTCCTCTGTTGTCTCCATACCGGGCCATATGGTGCAAAAACGACACCTGGGGGGGCGGGGAGGGAATTAAAAAAAAGAAGTGAATCCCAAACTAAGCAGCTATATTCTCAAGGTGACATATTTAATTCCCCCCCCCCCCAAAAAAACCAACCTCAGAACCAAATCAGGAACTTTCCAAAAAGGAAGGAGAGTCATGTGATCAAGGCACAGAACTAGGAGCCAGAGAAAGATGACTCTGTTCCAGCTCTATCTAAGACTTCTTACATGGCCTTGGGCAACTCTCTACCCCAGTTTTCCAATCTGTAAAATGGCTACCTCAACAGGCTTAATGTTTGAAATACGTTTTGAGATCCTCAGTTGGAAGGCACTATAGAACTATTATTGCTTACCGTCTTGTAAGCATGTCACAGGAATGTCAAGTTTTGGACATACGTTAGCAGTAACCCTTTAAACAAATGGAAAAAAAAAAAAAGGAACCTCCTACACAAATGCCATGAGCAAGATGGAGATAACCAAATACTCAAACACAGTTTGTTCTGCACTGTGACATTACAGGATGACTCTCTCCACGGTCCACACCTCCCAGTACTGTCTGTGTGCATGCAACTCCCATGAAAGAGAAAATTCAAGTTGACCCTTACATTTTTATGAAACAATTAGGCAACAGGATATAAAAGCTACAGACAGACTGGGAAGGTGACTATATATTTAAAACTTCTGGGTAAAAATGCCCTTGGATTTGCATCAGTAGGGAGTTTTCAAAACTTTAGACACACATTCTCCATGGGTGTTTCGTATTATGAAGTCTACCCCGAGTCAATATTTTAAACTTTTTTGTTCATGGGCTTCTTTGGAGTCAACTATAAATATTAATTTACATGCAAATAGATACATCTTGTTGTATTTGACAATAGTACTATAAATGTGTACAGTGTCTATATAAACAAAACAAAAAAACACCTAGCTACAGTGATTTAACCAAATTCATCTAAACCTGATCAGAGTAACTTGGAAAAGTATTTTAAGCCATCAGAGCAAGAACCAATATTTTAGTGCTACTTATGGTGAACTCACATTATGTTTTCTTAGAAAGAGCAGCTTGTTTCACAAAAGCTACATGACAACTACATCTCACCATTAATGTTAAGTTTCAAAGATTTTTTTTTAAATTAATTGATTTGTGAAAGGCAGTTTGATAAGAGCTTAATGCCTAATCTAACATATGGCCAGATAACAGAACACAAGAGAGAAACTCAGTGGCCATTAGAAATTGGTAACAGAAAGATATGTCTTCTTGATACTGGATAGGCATCCACATTTTGATAAAAGGACCTAATAGTCAAAACATGAAAAATGAGTTATAACACTAAAATAAATCCAGAAAAGTTATTTAAAAGAGTGGGTATAATAATGTACAAGGGTAGTATATGCCAAAGAGAATGTAAACTATTCAGGGTCAGGACAATCTAAGAGATATGGAAGGGCAAAATAAAGATTGGTATGTGGTCTTCATGATTAGATTTTTCTGACTTAATTATCTATTAAAGTGACTGTATTAGGTTGAAAAATCTGAATACATTGTTTAGTTCCAAAGGTCTTGAAAAAAGTAAGTAGAGTATTATGATCAGTCCTTGGTTAAGAAGAAAGTCACTGAACTATACCAACTGAGTGAACAGGTATTCAAATGAAGCTCATTTTGTCTCCATATAAATATGCCCTGAAGGACAGCGTCTCAGCAATACATTTTCTGTACAGAACATTTTTTTGTTTTTGTTGGTTTTCTTAGCTTGTCAGATTACCCACCCCAGGACAGTGTTTCTACGTAGCAGCAGTAACATCAACTGGGACAAGTGAAAAATTAAGGCACATATGATATTGAAATTGGCCAAGAACATATTAATCATTCCAGTGAAAAAGAACACTTCTATCTTGGCCTAAAGCAAGTACTACAACAAAACCAAACCACAATTCAGCACAACCTTTTCCTGCCTCCAGAAGGGGGAAGAGTAGTTTCAGGACATGAATACCATCCACAGGAGAAGACAGCCTCATCATCTTTTAAGGGAGCAAACTCCCTTCAATGTATGCATTAAAAGCTGAGCTGGCGAACTAAGACTGTCCCAATTTCATATTATAGTAGAACCTCAGAGTTAGGAACTGACCAGTCAACCATACATCTCATTTGGAACTGGAAGTACGCAATCAGGCAGCAGCACAAACAAAAACGTACTGTGTTTAACGTAAGCTACTAAAAAAAAAAAAATGAAGTGAAGGCAGCATTTTTCTTCTGCATAGTAAAGTTTCAAAGCTGTATGAAGTCAATGTTCAGTTGTAAACTTTTGAAAGAACACCATAACATTTTGTTCAGAGTTATGAGCAACCTCCATTCCAAAAGTGTTCATAACTCTGAGGTTCTACTGGAAAAGTCTTTTCAGACATGGTTCCATAGAGAAGACTGTCATATGAGATCATCAAAATCATGGAACTCCCAGCTCATTTGGGAGCACTGACAACTAGCTTACTATAGGCAGAAACTAACAGAGACGGAGAAATAGATTAAAAAGGAGAAAGAAGCACTAGGTTAGAGCAACAACGGAGATCAGAGAAGAAACTTGAATCCATTGGCTGAGTGCCAGGTAACAATAAAGAGGAGTAATTGGGCACTTTTGTTTACTAACAGAATGTCATTGAAAAAAGAAGCTAGGGAAAACAGCACTTGCTCTGTACATGAGCTGAGAGCCAAGTGGACCCAGGAATGGGTATATACAAGGAAGAATATGAAGAAGCCATAAAAGTGCATCAAGCAACGAGAATGAGACCAGGGCTTTGGAGTGGAGCCCGGAGCTGGAGCCCGGAGCAATGGAGCTGCAGGTTTTTGCCCGGAGCTGGAACGGAGCCGGAGCACAGAAAATCTTGACTGCTCCAGGTTTTTTTTTTTTTCCATTTTCAATCCAAAATGAATGATATTTAGCAAAAACGTCCTAAAGGTGCCAAAAAGTTTCAGATTGTATAACAATTGATATTAACATCTACTTTACCACTTTACGTAATATGTCACAGTTATTCTCACTTCAGCCGAAATCAAGATTTAATGTACAGATACAAAATTATAACGTTTTTTGGAGATATGTTTTATTAAAGAATCAGATAATTATCAGACATCTGGCAACACTGCAGACTGCTCCCACCCTTGTGCCGAGTGCGTACTCGTGTAGATTAGTATGTGTTGATACTTCTTTTGTAAGGGTTGATCAACGAGACGCGCGGAGTGCTGCAATTACGGAAAAGTGTGATGCAAGATGCAACATTTGAGATATCACAAACAGATATATTGCAAAAAAAATAATGTTTTTGTTTATTGATGTATTAAGATATCGCAAGAGATATTAACCACTTAAGCTCATTTCTCACACGAGCTCCCGTTACATTTGTTCATTTGTACATGCTCCCGTATCACTCTGGTGGACTTATTTTATATGTCATCTGTTCAACTGTCTTTTGGTAGCGTTGTTTGTGATTTTAAATTTACTGAAAAAGTCGCGTGCAGCAGGCATGTAAATATACAGTAAACATTTTTGCATAAATTAGGAGTGATTTTTGTGATATATCCAGAGTGATTGGAAAATGTCCAACACAACTTTGGGGTGAATCCTTAGGTCATTTTAAGAAAAAACGTTTTTGTGAACACGTGTCCTAAAATTCCTCCTAAGGGAGCTACAGTCCCTTCAAGGTGGTGATGAAAAGTTAATTTCTGATTAATATCTCAAAAACACTTTAATATAAAGTAATGAAATTATGTCTGTGTCTTAGCGTTAGTATGTGCTACCATATTACATTATCCAAAATTATTTAAACCATAGGCGTCCCAAACTGGCGGTTGGTCATTTTTATTTCATATTTCAAGAAAGGCTTGTCGTCGACTGCCCCTGGCTATGAGCGGTAATATTATGTTCCATAATAAGTTAATAATTTTTGGTTATTATTCATTATTACATTTAAAATTTATGGTTCCAAAGTTGAAAAATAAGTAATAAGTAAAATTGTTTGTATCATTCTAAGCATCTAAGCAGATTAAAATTTTTAAACAGTTTTCTCAGAAATGATTAATTATACAAAATAAATTAAGAGTACCATTTTAATGCATGTTTTAGCATTAAATCATATTCCAGGGTCGTATAAAAACAACCCAGGAAACTACAGACCAGTTAGTTTAACTTCTGTGCCAGGGAAGATAATGGAGCAAGTAATTAAGGAAATCATCTGCAAACACTTGGAAGGTGGTAAGGTGATAGGGAACAGCCAGCATGGATTTGTAAAGAACAAATCATGTCAAACCAATCTGATAGCTTTCTTCGATAGGATAACGAGTCTTGTGGATAAGGGAGAAGCTGTGGATGTGGTATACCTAGACTTTAGTAAGGCATTTGATACTGTCTCGCATGATATTCTTATCGATAAACTAGGCAAATACAATTTAGATGGGGCTACTATAAGGTGGGTGCATAACTGGCTGGATAACCGTACTCAGAGAGTTGTTATTAATGGTTCCCAATCCTGCTGGAAAGGCATAACGAGTGGGGTTCCGCAGGGGTCTGTTTTGGGACCGGCTCTGTTCAATATCTTCATTAACGACTTAGATATTGGCATAGAAAGTACGCTTATTAAGTTTGCGGATGATACCAAACTGGGAGGGATTGCAACTGCTTTGGAGGACAGGGTCATAATTCAAAATGATCTGGACAAATTGGAGAAATGGTCTGAGTTAAACAGGATGAAGTTTAACAAAGACAAATGCAAAGTGCTCCACTTAGGAAGAAAAAATCAGTTTCACACATACAGAATGGGAAGAGACTGTCTAGGAAGGAGTACGGCAGAAAGGGATCTAGGGGTTATAGTGGACCACAAGCTAAATATGAGTCAACAGTGTAATGCTGTTGCAAAAAAAGCAAACATGATTCTGGGATGTATTAACAGGTGTGTTGTGAGCAAGACACGAGAAG